ATGCTTTACGTTGGAACATCTCGTTGTGTGTCATCCTTGCACAGAGGCCATGCTTGTCTTCTCTGTATTGTTCCAGTTTTAGTATATGTGCTGCCAAGGCAAGCACAGGGGGCTAATATTAAATCTCAGTCTCTGATAGTTTTTTTTTTTTTTGCACCTATTCAAGAAATGTGTTCTTTGCAGCTTGAGAAGCACCATACCTATTCACACCCATCCTTGAGAAGGATGTAAGTCCAGCACACCTCCCTCTGTGAAGGGAAAGGCTCAGAGCATGGTTTGCTATTAAGAAAATTAGCACGAGCAGAGAAAAAAAACCCTAGAAAACTGGGCAACAGATAAAATCCTAATTGTATTTACTATATACACGGCCACAGCCTACTATGCTACTGCAAGATGGTGGCCCTTGGCCATTCTTCTGGCTGCCTAGGCCCTGGGCCTAGGCTCTGTCCCTACCTGCCTCCTTGGCAGTTACGCCCTGGTTCTCCATTCGAAAACTACAAACTTTAGAGCCCAAAGGAATGTTAGAAACCAGTTGCCTCAATCCCTTCAATTTACAGCAGAGGTGAACTGGAGATCATAAGCATGTAAGGCAGGGGAAAAAGAAACCGGAATGTCAGTGAGGATCTGTGGGGACTTCTGTCCCATTTCAGAATGGAAGGCTCTTCCATGTTTAGTTTTGACTTTTCTCCACTTTCCAAATTTTCCATAGTGTGAATCTATTAATTAGTAGTCTAAAACATAGTCAGTTACTATTCACTTCTCCTCCAGATGCCATGTGGTTCCCAATATACCTAAAGACTACATTAGCGGCCGGGCGCGGTGGCTCAAGCCTGTAATCCCAGCTCTTTGGGAGGCCGAGACGGGAGGATCACGAGGTCAGGAGATCGAAACCATCCTGGCTAACACGGTGAAACCCCGTCTCTAATAAAAAATACAAAAAAACTAGCCAGGCGAGGTGGCGGGCGCCTGTAGTCCCAGCTACTCGGGAGGCTGAGGCAGGAGAATGGCATGAACCCGGGAGGCGGAGCTTGCAGTGAGCTGAGATCCGGCCACTGCACTCCAACCTGGGCGACAGAGCGAGACTCCACCTCAAAAAAAAAAAAAAAAAAAAAAAAAAGACTACATTAGCTTCAAGTCATCTTGAGTTCCCCTAAACATTCCTTTTCTTCCCATCTAGCCTCCTTTATTTCAGGTTATGGAAAGAGGGCCATCCCCATTAGCTCAGGTGAACTGGAAAACCCAATCACTCTAGTTATAACAAGAGCACAGGTGTATTGGGCCAGCACTATTCTAACAGCTTCAGAACCCAGAGGAGCTTTAGAGCTCTTAGACACAACCCAGCTAACCCTCAGAACAATCCTGCGAGGTAGGTACCATCATGATTCCCATGATAAAGATGAGGAAACCAAGGAATGGAAAAGTTATGGACATATCCCACAACCAGTAAGCATTGTTAGGGACCAAGAAGTTCCACAATGGCTAGTTTCCTGTTTCTGTCTCTTTGGTGCCCAACTATTTCATTTTGGATGAAAAGCCACAAGTCAACCACTTAGGTCACACATGGTTCTGAAAGTCCTATACTGTTCTGGATTCCCAGGCACAGAACTCCGGGCTGCTCAGGAAGAAACTATGATTCTTCCACCTGCCAGCTACTGTTGGCCATCCCTTCTCAGTGCTTCTAGCACCAGCCTTCTCATCCCAATTCTCTATTCTACATTGTTATTTATAATCCATTGTGTGCTGGGAGATCAAATCACTCAGCAATGACATTCTGAATTAAAAAATATGTATACACATGTAATGAACACCTACTAGCTTCATCTCTTTCTGACTTGTAGTTCCAGCTTTAAAAACCAAATTAGAAATCATGACAGAGAGACCCTGGGGAATTTTGGGGCACTTTACCATCAGGAAAGGGTATGGACTTTAGCACAAAGCCTTGGCAGCAGCTATGCTGACTCATCAGAGGCCTTTCCCACTCTTCCAGGTGTTTAAGTTCTGAGCAGCTACCTGGAGAGGGCCTGCTGGATAACTGAGGTGTTTACTGGCAGAGTCTCATTTCATTCATGTGCCCCTAGGAAGAAAGGAATGGGCACTGCATTTCCAAAGAAGATGCCCAGAGTAACATGAAATCCACATCCATGAGGTTTCCTTGAAGGAAGCAATTTTTAAAATTTGACATCAGAGACTCTCCAGACTCAGGAAGCATTTCCGGGTGGCTTGGGACTTAGTTTCCTTTCACAAGCTGCTCAGCCTAAGACCAAACCTCAGCAGGTGCACACATACTTTCCTTCGCCCGAGGAGCTCAGCCTCCATGCTGGCTGGAGGAAAGGGGCATTTGTCTTGACCCAGTCATATGCCTACCAGGTTCCTCTCTGGACCCAGAGAAAGCATTTCCGAGATAGCCGCACTAGACTAGGCAGGTGACATTACTAAGGCATGTTGACTTGGAGGAAGAGGGATTAGGAGAAATAGAGAGAATCCTGCACTGTGGGGTAGGAGACCCACAGTCCTTCTAATCTCTTCTTTGTAAGCCACTCCATGACCTTGAGCAAATCGCTTAATCTCTGTCTCAGTTTCCTCAGTCGCAAAATAGGATATACCACCTGTCCTACCTTTATCCGTGAGCTGCTGGATTAGATGCAGTTGGCTGTTGGAAGAATTGTGAAACACTACCTATCCCCAACAAGCCACAACAAAGCCTCTCTTAGCCCTCCAAGCAGGTGCAGCCCAAGTCATTGAAAAGTTGCACCCACACTACTAAGCTATGATCCTGGGTACACCATTCATGTCAGAAGCAGGAGCTGAAGGGGCTTGGGTCTAAAACTAGAAAACGATGATCAGGAAACAAGAAGTCCCTTCTGGAGCTGGAGGTAATGAGGTACCCCCCTACCACCACTGCCCCCTCTTCTGGAGATAAAAGATCCTATTGAGGCTCCCAGTGCGGGACCACTAGCAGGGCAGGGCTGAACATCCATTCTCCCTCCCTGGGTCACAGATCCCTGCAAAGAATAATCCTTTAACCCCAGAATTGCCTTCCCTCCCTGAGAGAGCTGACCGACATCCTGCAGGTAATAAGCTAAAGGTGCTCTCAACCTCAGGAGACTTCCTTTCAGCACTCACCTAAAAGTTAGTTCCCAAACTTAAAGTGTCTGGACTGCAATATCTAGCCGCCAGTCACAGAACAAAGGCTGTGATCTAGACCAGCCTGGGCAGCATAGTGAAACCCCATCTCTAAACTAGCTGGGTGTGGTGGTGTGCACCTGTAATCTCAGCTACTCTGGAGACTGCGGCAGGAGGATCGCTGAAGCCTAGGAGTTCGGGGATGCAGTGAGCTAGGATCCCAACACTGCACTCCAGTCTGGGCAACAGAGCAAGATCCAGACTCTAAAAAGAAAAAAAAGCTGTGATCCACTTAAAGTCCTAAGAGGCCACCACTATCTGCCCTTTTGTCAAGAACTTTTGGTCTCCCTCATGAGAGTGTTTTTTTGTCTTCTTTCTTTCTTTTTTCTTTTTCTTTCTTTCTTTTTTTAATACAGATGTCCTAAATTTTTGTTGTTGATTTAAATGAACAATCTCTCTCTTAAGTGCAGACAGCCATCACATTTTCCAGAAGGAGAAATGGAAACAGTGGAAAGGCAAGTCACTTTGCCCAGGGTTTGCTGTTTTTCACAACCTCAGCAATGAGGAGCTTTGCCTCAATAACTCAAGACAAAATATATTAATAACTCCAAGGCTCAGAATCCAAAATCATCAGAAACCTGGAGAGGGAGCCAGCTGGACTCCTCAGTCAACTGAACCTGGTTAGATCAGTAAATGCCTCCAGGCTGCAGTTTTCCCATTTGTGAACTTTGGGCTAATGGAGAAACCAGGAGAGACCAAGGTTTTGGATAAGTCACAGAAAGGATACTACATCATCTCAAAGGACAAAATGCAACTTCTAAGAATTACAAAAAGCAGGCAAAGCTAAGTGAAGATGCTTCTCTCCCTCCCCTCTAGAACTCACACTTCGGCACAAAGAAAGGCCTTTGAAACACAACACTCTGGCCGGGCGCGGTGGCTCAAGCCTGTAATCCCAGCACTTTGGGAGGCCGAGACGGGTGGATCATGAGGTCAGGAGATCGAGACCATCCTGGCTAACACAGTGAAACCCCGTCTCTACTAAAAAATACAAAAAAAAAACTAGCCGGGTGAGGTGGCGGGCGCCTGTAGTCCCAGCTACTCGGGAGGCTGAGGCAGGAGAATGGCGTGGACCCGGGAGGTGGAGCTTGCAGTGAGCTGAGATCCGGCCACTGCACTCCAGCCTGGGAGACAGAGCGAGACTCCGTCTCAAAAAAAAAAAAAAAAAAAAAAAAAAAAAAAAAAAAAGAAACACAACACTGCAGTGGTCTTTACTGCGGTGGACAGCAACCTGTCCCAAGCCCCAAGCCCTCAGGAGAGGCATATTTCTGGGCAATATGCCTCACTCAACTAACCTCAGTCCTACTATCTGTGGGTCCACTGATAACTGCAGAAAATTGTCAGCTTCCTTCGCAGCCAAGGACTGTAACAGAGAAGGCCAAAGATTGCAAGCCGGATGACCCAACAGGCAAAACTTAACCAATGCTCCCAGAAGCTTTTAGGCACCATGTGGGAGAAAATGAGGGGAAGCCACTGGGGCGTGGTCGGAACATTTTTACCGGGGAGAGCAGCGCGAGAGTATGAGTAAAGAACAGGTGGGGCTCTTCCCTAACACACGCCCACTTAACGGTGGGGACTGGTTCTTGCTCAAAGATGCGGCCTGCTCTTTCGATTGTGCGGTGCGCCCCAGCTGTTTGCAAAGGTGTGGTCAGCACGCAAAGACTCCAGACGTCATTTTGATATTTTTAAAACGTTAAACGCCACCAGCAGCCAACTAAGAATTAACTCTTAGGAGTGTATGTGCATATGTGTGTATGAACTGGAGGGCATCCGAGAGCTGGCGTCTCCCACTGGGCCCTGGGCGAGGTGGAGAGTGTTACCTGGCCAGGTCGAGGAAAGAGTCCACCGTCTCTTTGGGGACAGGAGGAGGCCCCGAGTCCTCCAGCCCCAAGTCGCTGGACTGAAGGGTCTGCGCACCGGATCCCGGTTTGATGATGAACGCCAAGGCCACGGCAAGCGCCGAGGCACTGAGTGTGGTGAGGCCAAAGTAGGCGACAGCGATGCCGCCCAGACGCCCGAGGGAGCTGGCATCGAGGGAGGCGGCGCCCGACACCAGGCTGCAGACCACCAGCGGCAGGATGATCATGCGCAGCATGCGGAGCAGCATCTCGCCGGGGAAGGCCAGGTAGGTGACCTGCGTGCGGCTCAGGCTGAGCCCGCGCAACGCCGCGCCCAGGCCCGCGCCCGCCAGCACCCCGGACACGGTGAGCAGCACCAGCGCTTGGCGCCGCAGGAAGCCCGCGCAACGCCGCGCGCGTCCCGCCGCGGTCCCCGGAGCTCCGGGCCCGGCCGCAGGCCCCGCCTGGGCGCTGTCAAGGTAGCCGTTGGTCTCGTTGCTCTTCTCCATGGCGCTGCACGCCGCTCCGAGCTAGAGGTGGCAGGGGACGTGGGCTCTGGCAAAAGACGGGGCTCCCAATGAATGGTGAGTCGGCGATGGTGAGGTCGGCCAGCTGTGCTTCGCAGGTTCTGGGAAGCCGCCCCGGGGGTCTCCCGGCCTGGCGCAGGAACAGGTGCGAGAAAGGCGAGGAGAAGCGCGGAGTGTGGGTTGGAGCCGCGGACGGAGAGGATCGCGCCGCGCCCAGCCTCCCCGGTGCAGCGGCCGGCTGGAGATGATGCAAGCGGGAGCCGCAAGCGAGGACGCAGACAGGGAAGGAGGAGGGAGCGGGAGCGGGAGCGGGAGGGTGAGCGTGAGCGGCCCCAGCCCGCCCACTTCACGCCCGCCGTCCCGCCCCCTGCGGCGCTGGCCAATCACAGCCCGGGAGCCGCCGCCGGGAGCCTCTGGTCCCCACCCGGGTCGGGGGTGCCGCGGGGGGCGGCCGGGCAGGAGGCTCCACCCGAGGCCGCGGGGGCGCGGGCGGCGCCGGGCAATCCTGGCGCCAAAAGCCGCCTCCTCACCCGGCTAACGGAGGCCGGCTCCGGGCGACCGCGGGGAAGTGCGGGATGAAGGCCCGCCCGGGCTCGTTGGCACCTGCCGGGCCCTCTCCCGCGGCCGGGATCTGAGTCCTCGGGGCCAGAGGGCCCGGGAGAACTTGGAACGCAGCGGCGTTCCTCCTCCTGAGGACTGTGGGAGGGGAGGGGAGGGTTTCTCCCTCCCAGGTGGTGCTTTCGCCTCCGCGCCGCCCGCGCTCCTCTCCAGAGCTCGCGGCCTCTCCCGCCAGGGGGCCGCGCGCGGTGAGGGGGCCCAGGGCGGTCCTGCCGCCGCGTCCCCTCCTGCGGAAATCCCTTCTTCCAGGGGTCCTCAGGGGCTCGTGCGGTAAAGTACGCCATGGTGTCCAGCAAGGCCCGGCTCTGAGACAAAGGATTGACCGGAGGATGGATGAATGAGGGGAGCCTTCGCACGCGTTCATTAGGGCTGTAACGCAGCCGTACCGCGACAGAAAGGGGGCTCGAGGTGCCACCAAACCCAGCGCGCCTGGGCCGCGCCACCCCGCGCACTGGGGCGCTCCTGGGCGTGTGGCCTGGGGCTGGGTCGCCCGCCTGGCAGCTGTCTGCAGTATGGGCGTTTAAGACGCAAAACTCTTCTAGAAGAAACAGAGCTCTCACGCCACCTCTTCCAGTTGGTTTCTGCCACGTAACCCAAGCTGAAACACAAGCCACTGGATTTTAATCTCTTCCATTACCAGGCCTGAGTCCTGGCGCGAAAACAGCCAGACGGCGGTTTGGCCATCCTGAGTGGTTCCTCATTGTTCATGTTCTGTGGATTTCCTGTTTATTTCGTCTTTTATTTGATATCTGCTTTGGCCACGCGAGTTACAAGGGAAACTTCTGCTGAGTCTTTTTACTGTGTCACAGTTATTGTATTTTTATATTTTCTTATTCTGCTTGTGAATTGTTCTTTAAAGACTTCCGTGAGTGAAGTCTTTTTATTTTCCTTCCTTCCTTCCTTCCTTCCTTCCTTCCTTCCTTCCTTCCTCCCTTCCTTCCCTTCCTTCCCTTTCTTCCCTTTCTTTCCTTTCTTTCCTTTCTTTCCTTTCTTTCCTTTCTTTCCTCTCTTTCTGGGACAAGGTCTCGCTGTGTTGCCTAGGCTGGTTTTCCAATTCCTGGGCTTATGGGATCCTCCTTGGTAGCTGGCACCACCCACTGTGCCAGGCAAGGGAAGACTTAATTGTGGCTAACCTCAATTAAGGAGGAAGGCAATTTACTATAGATTTCTTGCTAAAAAGGAGTCATCTTAAAACATGTCGTGACATATTTGTGCAAATCAAAATGCCTTCATAAGGAACTTTAAGGAGCTGTCCAAATTTTGAGACAGTGAGTATTTTATTGCTTGGAGCCAGCCAGTTATTGGCTAGAACTTGTAGGGATTTTGTGTGTGTGTGTGTGTGTGTGTGTGTGTGTGTGTGTGTGTGTGTGGTGGCGGGGAGGAGGGAATGTCAGATGAAGAGCTGCATATATTTGTATCTGGCTTTCCAGAATGCAGTTCATTTCTCTATGTGCACTGAAGAAAGAGTAATTCCTGCAGACACACACTGTGTTTTGCCAATCAGCCCTTCCCTTTGTTTTGACTACCACGTTTATGCAAAAGACTCTCAAATAATGCATCAGAAATGAGTCTCCGGCTGCCTGTTTTACATCTCCACCTGAATATCCAGCAGTCATCCCAACTCGAAATGTTGAAAACTAGACTCATGGTTGCCTTTCTCAAGTCTGCTCATCCTTTCTGTTAAAACATAATTGACGACCCAGTCACCTCTGTGTGAAACTTCAAAGTGAACTTTGATTCTTCCCTCTGTGGCGCCTTCTCTCATCTAATCAATTGCCAAGTCCCACAGAGACTCCTTTCACAATATTTATCACATCTGCCCATCCCATCTATTCCCACTGCTACCACCCTGGCTCAGTTCTTATTTCCTCACTTCTTTTTATTTTTTTTATTTTTTATTTTTTGAGACGGAGTCTCACTCTGCCGCCCAAGCTGGAATGCAGTGGTGCGATCTGGGCTCACTGCAAGCTCCACCACCCTGGTTCATGCCATTCTCCTGCCTCAGGCTCTCAAGCCCCAGGCCCTTATTTCCTCACTTCTTATCAGGGCTATTGAAATGTTCTCCTAATTAGTCTTCCCACCTCCAATGCTCCTCTTGTTCCAACCATCCTTATTTTGCCTTGCCCCAGGCTAATCTTCCTAATGAGTAACATACATGTTAGGATAAAGTTCAGCTTTCACCCAGCAGAAAAAAAGGAGAAATGAGTGCATGCCTTCTCCCTTTAAAAACACTTCCTGAAAGTCACACACATTATTTCTCTTATATTTCATCGATAAGAATTGAGTCAAATGACCATACCTTGTTGCAAGAAAAGTTAGGGAATGTAATTTTTGTTTTACACAGGCATGCACCCAGTTAAAAAATTGGAGTTTCTGTTACTAAAGAAACACAGAAAAATGATATTGGAGGACAACTCCTTCATATCACTTCTTGTTCAAAAGCTTTCAGTGGCTCCCACTGAATTAAGAATGTGTTCCTCATCCTGGCATTCGAGGCCTGCCATGATCTCGCCTCAGCCTGCTCTCTAGCCTTGTGCCCTCTATGCCTCCTGCAAAAGTGGCACTGTGTGCTGCTTCCACATTGTTTTGCCTCTCCATCCAGTCCCAGTTCAGATACCACATTCCTCCCATAGCCTTTCTGAATCCCCTTTGCACCAACTCTGCTTGCTGCCTGCAGCTTTTTGTGCTGTACCTGTGCACTCCAAAGCTGCAATAATAGTCAGTTAATCCTCAACTAGGAGTGGGGAACTCCCTGAACTATTGTGTGGTGCTGAGTGTGAGAGCACTGTTTGGGGGTGCCTTATACTATGCCACATATATCTATCATTGAATTAGCAAAAACTCTCCTTAGGAAAGAGTTGGTCTCTTGGGGCATTTTATCTCCAGAGGGCTGCCCTGTAGCCACTCTGCCTACTTGTGAGGCAAACCAAGAAATAGGTGTCCTCTTCTGGCCTCAGCAACATTTGGTGGTATTATTATATCTCTCTATGAAAGGATTTCACTTTGTGCCACCTTTTCCCCTCTTTCTTCCTCTCCTTTTGCATTTTTTGGTCTTTTGATAATGTTACATGCCTCATGTTTATAGGTATTTTGTGCAAAAAACAAAAAAAACAAAGTTGATTCCTGTGTTAGACCCTTTCCCCCACAGTACTTATATGTGTTTTCCCTGGTTTCTAGATGCATAAGTACTGAATTATAGCAACACCTTACAAGTGATCCAGCCTGACAGCATTACTACTACTATCATCTGATCCCGTGATAGGCTAAAGTATTGTTCAGCCAAAATTTCTTCCCTTGTTTCTCCCACTTAGATAACAGTTTGCATTCCCCATTGCCTTTGAGCTTTGCCATTTAGCTCCTTGGCTAGTGGACTAAGTGGATCTGCTGCAAGCAGAGGCATCAAAATGTTTTCACACAAATGCATGTGGACTCCTGCATACATGTGACCCAGCATGCCTTGGGTAGATGCTGCCCCTTCAGCCTGGCACCAGAACAAAGACAGGAGTGTGCCTGAATTTAGCCAGCAGCCCTGACCAAACCCAACTGCCTCACAGCCTAAAGAAGAACACCCCAGTCAACCCACAGACCCATGTGTGAGAAAAATAAATGCTTATTGAAACCCACTGAGTTCCGGAGTCATGTGTTATACTGCATTATTTTAGCAATAACTGAGTATAAATGATAACTTCAGCATCTGTTCCAGTTATCTATTGCTGCATAACAAACCAGCCTAAACCACGCTGGCATAAAACAACCACCACTCAAAAAGAAGTGGCATAAAACAACCACCAATTTTTTATGCTCATGATTTTATAGGCCAGAAATTCAGATGGGGCATAACAGGAGGTCTCATTACTGTTTCACAATGACTGAAATCCCAAGCTGGGGTGGCTTAATGGCTAGAGATGGCTGGGACAGCTCACTTGGGGTCGTCTGCTTGTGGCCTAGGTTGTGGCTATCTATTAGGATCATCAGTTCTTTCCCACATTGCAACTATTGAGTCTGGAATGTCCAAGATGTCTCATTCATTCACGTGACTGGCACCTTGGCTAGTGGGTTTGGATCTGCTGGGGCTAGCTGGCCATCTCTTGTTCTCTCAGTGTGGGTAGCTTGGGTTTCCTCACAGTATGGCAATCTTGGTGAAGTCAAGTCTCTTATGTAGTGATTGACTTCCCCCAAAGTGAGTGTCTAAGAAACGTAGGTAGAAGCTGCAAGACTTCTTCTGACCTAGCCTCAGAAGTCCCAGAACATTACTTCTATTTCATTCTGTCAGTCAAGCAAATCATTAAGGCCAGCCCAAATTCAAAGGAGGAGAATTAGACCCCACCACTTAATGGTGGGAATAACTAAGAATTTGCAGCCATCTTCAATCCACAGTAACATTCCTGCTTAAATACTCATGTTTTGTGGGCCAGAGCAGCACACATAAGTCACTACTTGCCCTAGCTCTGGTGTCTCTTTAGACAACTCTATTAGAAATCTGCTTTGTACAGTCTCTCAATAAATGGTGCTGGGAAAACTGGATAAAACCCTCATCTCACACCATATACAAAAATCAACTCAAAATGGATTAAAAACTTAAATTTAAGACCTGAAACTGTTAAACTACTAGAAGAAAATATGAGAAATATGAGAAAAGCATCATGGCATTGGTATGGGAAATGATTTTTTAAAAATACGACCCCGAAGCACAGGCAACAAAAGGAAAAACAGACAAATGGGATTACGTCACACTAAAAAGCTCTGCAGAGCAAACAATCAACAGAAGAGACAACCAACAGAGTGGGAGAGTATATTTGCAAACCAGACATCTGATAAGGAAGGGGTTAATATCCAAAATATATGAGGAACTCAAACAATTCAACAGAAAGAAAACAAATAACCCGGTTAAAAAATGGGCAAAGGACTTGAATAGACATATCTCCAAAGAAAGCATACAAATGGCCAATAAGTATATAAAAAATGTTCAGCATCACTAATTATCAGGGAAATGCAAATTAAAACCACAATGAGATATCACCTGACACCTATCAGAGTGGCCAT